GCCGCCAGCCCAGCCCCTGTACCTCTTCATTTTTTTCTGTCCCTTTTTTCTAGGATGCCCATGCAGCACCCCCCCCCCCATGTCCTAAGAGGTCTTGAGAAACTACACTCCCTGTCCTTTTTTTGTATAACACAACAGACAGGAATGTCAGGTCTCCAGACTGGACCCCCACCCAGCTGTGAGAAAAACTCCCCAAATAGACCTGTTGTTTATACCTGTGGGAGTGCAGCTTTGGACAGGAAGCCAGCAGCTTCCCCATGCAGCTTAACTTGATAGCAGCTGTTCTATGCAGTTCAAGCTGCAAACAGCTGGTTCTATGAAAAGCTACAAATCATACTGTGCCTGCCAGCACCCCTTGTACCCAACATTGCTGTCACCTAGCGTAGACTCCTCACTCAAGAGACCTCAAACTCTGTACCCGCCTTGTCAATGCTCCCTTCCCCTCCTTAAACTCCCCTATAAAACACACTTTTGCCCTTGCTTACCCGGTAGTCTGCCTTGTCTCAGTGGTCTGCACCTCAGTTTATCCTAACACGGGAGTAAATTTAACTTAGCAGCCTGGAAGAAACAGGGTTAAATGCTCTTAACTGCCCAGCTTACAAGTGTGCAAGTTATTCCAAGTATTTCCCCATGCAAGATATTTTTTTTTGTTTTATCTACCTATCTTTTCATTTACATGGAAGTTACCTTGAATTATATTTTTTATTTTATTTATTTATTTTTATTTATTTTATTTATTTATTTTTTTTTTTGAGGAACCGGGGATTGAACTCAGGTCCCTGAGCTTGCCAGGCAAGCACTTATTCCACTGAGCCATCTTCCCAGCCCCTACCTTGAATTATATTAAGAAACTCTAAATAGTAACTATTGGAAATGGGTAATAAAATATTTTCTTATATATTTTTACCTTTAGTTTTTATAATAAAGTGAAATCTGCTTCCAATAGTTTGTTCTTTTGAGGCAGGGTTTGTTATGTAGTTTACATTGCCTCGAACTCACAATGTAGGTAAGGCTGACCTTGAACTCATCAATCCTACCTCATCCTTCCGAATGCTGAGATTATAGGTGTGCACCATTATACCTGGCTGAAAACTTTGTGTTTATTTTATAGAATAACTTCTGGTGGAAGAAATTTTATCCTCAAAAACTGTTTCATTAGATTCTGGAAACTTAAAAGCTACCCCCCACCCCCATTAATTTGGTTTTAGTGACTCTTTAAGATTTGTTGTATATATGAGTCTGATTTATAAACAGCAAGACAATGCCTGAATCAAAGCGAATTTGGGGACTGGGTTCCTTTGCTGATAGCATGGTTCAAGCTAGGAACAATCTTCTTTGTGGAATCCAGAAAGAGGTAGTGGGAAGGGTGGATATACTGGGGTCAATAGCAAAGCAAGTTAATACTAGAATACAAAAAACAAAACAAAAAAACCCAAACTAGAATACAACTGGAGAATTGCCTAGTTCTTTAACGGAAGGCCAAAGAAGACTGGCTGTTCAGTTTACATAATCATCAGCAACCTGTAGTAAGGGACTTGATGAATTTAGTGATTAAGTCACTCAAAATTCACTGCTGTATGAATGGCTTTGTGAGTGCCAGCTTCCCAACTATCCTTGTCTCCTAGTATTAGCAGCCTTGAGTTGGAGCAGTGACTTCCCACCAGAGTTAGGGCTCATCTGTGACAGCAGAATACTGTGTAGTGAGTGCAAGGCTAGAAAGGGTGCAGTTTGTACCTTATTCTCTCAGATTACTCACTTTACATGTTACAGAGGAATATGTCCTCATTTAATCAGATATAACTACTGCCTCTAAGGCCCATAAAAATGAATTTCGAAGTTGGGAGAGGAACTGATTCACTAGCCTCTAATCTGAGACTCAACCTTTCTCCTGGAGTCCTCTCATTGATTGTCACTGACATCCACTCCCATACCAGGCCCTGAGGGTCCTCCAAGCATTTAACATTCTGATAGAAAACCATGAAAACTTTTTCTTTTGTCATGGTAAAGACAGGTCAAAATTTTAAAAAGTGTTTCCTATACAATGAGAAAGAACAAAGAATAGAGAGAAACTAAATGTAAAAGCATTTCACTTAACTGAGGCAATTTCATTTACACTTGCATTTATTAATGGATCACTTGTATGATTAGAAAATAAATTGTGATATAAAAAATAAAGGTAAAAATAATCTGGCAAAACATAGAAACATATTCCATGATCATTAGCCTGTTTTTGGGACTTAGGTAACAGTAGGTGCTTTCTATCCATCCCAACCTGCTCAGAATGTGCTACTACAAACTTTCTGGCTTGCTTACCCATGCACTGGGGCTGTGTGTAGAATCTACTAGGAAAGAGCTATTTTAGACACATCAAGGTGGGGACCTGTAGGGCCAGCCCCAAAACTGGGCCCTTTAAAGCAACACCCCTTCCCTTACAATTCACTAGCTACAAGTTCAAGAAGACTTATTCCATATGCATATGTCTCATCCATCTCGGACAGACTCCCCAGGCATGTTCTGAACAGAGTGAAAGAGAGGCACTCTGTAGGCAGGCATTGACACGCAGTGTCTCTGAAGATAAGGCTCCTAACCAACATGCTGTCACTTCTGCCCACGTTCCTTTGGTCGAAAACCAATGAAATTATCTAAACAAAATGTCAGTAGGGTGGAGAAACACTATTTGTAATGAGAGGAACTACAAATCCACATTTCAAAGAGCACGCTTGCATGGAACAGTGAAAAACAGGAGACGATGTTATTTACCACTGGCATTCCCCTGGGACTTTCCAGCTGGCACTGAGCGAGATACATTTCTTCTCAAGTCAGCTAGCAGGAATATGACCAAGCAGGTAAGACCAGTCTGTCACTGCGGGCATCAAGATTTGTCCTTGTATGATCCTCCTCAAAATGCAGTGCTACATTATGGAGTGACAGTACTATTGATCAGATTATTAATTACAAACCAATATGGGCAACCATCCCTCTAAGCAATAGGTTATTTTGCAAGAAATTGGGTGAAAATAGTGCCCTAGAAAGGATGCTGTCTGCAGTGTTGTTTATTGTGTTAGTATTTTTATGTATTTATTTTTGAGACAAGGCTACTATGTAGGCTACACTTGCCTCAAACTCTGTGATCCTCCTGCCTGTGCCTCTCTAATGCTGCACTGCAACTGCAGACATGCAACAACACTCCCAGCTGCTTATTGTGTATTAAAGGTCTGAATATTATCAAGGCTTTATACATTCTTCAGTTCACATTGGTGCCAACAGTTACTATATATATATCTATATATCTATATATATATAGGTATATATTTATTTATTTTTTCTTTTTTTCCCCTTGGAACCAGGGATTGAACTCAGGCCCTTGCCCTTGCCAGGTAAGCGCTTATTCCACTAAGCCATCTCCCCGGCCCAGTTAAAATATTTTTGGACTGAGGAATTCACAAAAGTTTGTCAGAGATGAGACTTCTCATTAACCATCATGCTATCTTCTATTTAAAAATAAATATTTTAAATAATAGGAGCCCCCTAGAGTTACTTCTTAAAATGGCAAAGCAAGATTTATCCAAAGAACTGTAAATTGCTTTTAAAAAGAGGCTTTTTAAATTCTTAGTTTTTGCAGGATTTGAACACAGTGGAGCCTCCAGTAGCTTTTTTACATTTGAGCATTAGGGTTATTTAGGGTTATTCCCTGAGCTCCCACTTTCTCTCAAGAATAGCCATCACACTTTCATTGCTCAGGCCTTCTTTATCCTTCAGAAGCATAGAGCAGCAAAGACTAAGGCTGGAGCCACAAATGAACCGGTACGCGCTGCGCCTAGTGAGGGTCCCTAGCGGCGACGCGGCGGAGCCCGGGGCAGCGGAGCGGCTCAAGCACACTGGACCGGCGGGCTCTTTGTTACAGGAGCAAACACCGAAAACGCGGCGGCAGCGGCGAGGCCAGGGATGTCTGTACGCAGAACCGAGCACGAATGACACTCAGGACACCCAGGGCACGGTATCGTCAGCTTTTGTGTACTTAAAGGCACGTCTCGGTGCCCGACTCCGAGGTCCCCCTTTGTGTGAAAGTGTGGGAGCCAGAAGCACGCGGCCACTTCTGGGTTTTCCTTTTTCAGTTTTTCAGGCGCTTTCACCCAAATGATCCTTCTTGTACCAACAATGCTGGGACTTGAGCTGCTCCTCCGGCGCCCGCGACAAAGGCTCCGCGGCAGCTGCGCAGGGGCCCGCCGCCGCCGCCGCCCGCCTGTGGCAGCAGGCAAGACTCCTCCCAGGGAGAACGGGAAGAGCCGAAGCTGCGCCCCCGACTGCACAACTCCAGGCCCGGGACAGGGCCACGGCCGGGGCTCACCGTTCAAGAGGGGTCCGCCTACCCGGGAGCAAGATAAAACAAGGTGACAGATAACCAGCACCCCAAGTCTCTCCCCACACCGCCCGAAGGTCTTTGTTCTGTTTGTGCTGATAATTTCTAAAAAGTTACAATCGCAGGGCCGTCGCGCGCTCCGTTCTCTGGGCGCCCCCAGGCCCACTCCCGCTCCAACTTTCCCGCCGGAGCCCCGCAGGCTGACCTCGACGCCGCACGGCGAGCTCTACGAGGCGGTCAGCTCCGCGTCCCCGAAGGAGGCCCGAGAGACCCGCTCAGAGGCGCTCCGCGCCCGGGGGACCTTCACTTCTCCGCCTTTCTCTTAAATATGCGACTCGCACTCGTCTCTCTCTCGCCCGCCGGCGGTCTCACCGCCCGTCACCGCGAAACCCGAGCCGGCGGCGGGCCGTTGAGCGGGCGGAATTTCTGGGAACCGGGCGGGGTGGGCGGGCCATGCCTGGGCGGGCTGGGAGGAGCGGCCGGCGGGCGGGCGGGCGGGGCCGCGCGTCACGGGGAGGGCGGGCGAGCGGGCGGGGCCAGCGTCGCGCTCCCGCCTTCGCCGCGGGTCCGGGCAGCGTTGTGGCTGGCGCGCCCGGCGGGAGTTTGTGCTGCCGCCCGCCCCTGTCAGACTAGTACTGGACGCGCCGCCGCCGAGGAGGGCAGAGTACCGAGAGCAGTCGGGGTGCCGGCGCGGCCCGCAGGGCGCCTCGGAGAGTGGCAAGGGTGTGTGCGTGCGGTCCGGCCGGGGAAAGAGCGGGCGGGCGCTGCAGGTGCAGGTGCAGGCGCGGCCCCGCGGCCCCACGCGCCCGCCCGCGCTACCCAGCGCCGCGCGGCGTGGAGAGCGGCCCGGGACGCCCCGGGCCGGGGGCTGGCCGACTGGCGAGCGTCTCCACCTGAGAGGCCGGGCTCGGGAGAAGTTGGGCGTCCTGGGAGGGCGGGACTCGAGAGCGCCCGCGACCGGCTCGGCGGGGCCCGCGGGGTGGACACAGCCGGCCGGCGTTTGACAGGCGCCGCGGGCG